CGTTATCAGCACGATAGTCTAACCGCATGAGCACGATACCTAGCTACATGAGCAAAACCCTAATCCGACTATCTCCGTTCTTTATCCAACGTCTCCGTTTCCGATGATATTTCCTACACTGTCTCCATGTCCGATAATTATCTATGATATCCCAGATAAGTACTATCCTATAATTGAATCATTATTTAATCGACTCAATCTAATCGTAATGTCATGCTTCATAATTGCCATCGTATTGCTTTACTGGTTTTATTAGAAGAAAAATCTGATAGTTCATAAATTATTTATTATCGTCACTTGATAAATTATGATGGGATCATGTTTCTTGTTGTTTGATATGATTTTTTCGTCCTGCTTCCTTTCATGGTTTTAAAATCATTAATTATAAATTGACAAATCCTTGATTTTGTGGCTCGATAATCCAATGGTTTGGCTTCGGTTCTTTGATTAAATATATTCATGATTTATCGCTTTAGAATACTTAATTAAGTTCAATATATTTAAGACGGCTCATGCTTTTATGTAAACATACACAAGTTTATTATTTTATTAGTTTGCGTGTATATTAAGTCTGTGCACGATAATATATAGCATGATTGACAAAATATTTTATGATAGTTTCACATCGTTTGATTTATGGTAAGTATATATCTATGTATCTGTATCCGCAAAATCATTAACTATAATTCTGATAAATTATAGCTTACCAGATACTTTCAATTTGCTTTCAGTTATAATTGATTGATTGTTGCCTTTTCATCTAACGAGGTTTATGTGGAGTAAGAACCGGATTAGCAGTGATGAACAATACGTAAAAGTTTTTGGAATTATTTGGTGGAAATTTCTCCGGTAACGTCTCCGAATACTTCTTCTTCAAGTAAGTCATTAAACCCACTAATATAAGATTCGTTAAATAGAGAAGTAATTTACAAATTGAAAAGAAACTTAACCATTTAACGTCTAGATCTGGCTAAATTAATCGATCTTCTACTATTGATCGACTTGCTTATGTATAAGAATATATAACCAGTAGGCATATGTGTGCATGTATATTAGTCTTTAAATTAACCGTTGGTAGTTGGCTTAAGTGAATCTTTGATAATTGCAAGGCATTATCATTTATTATTTTGATGATCAATTTATCGCTTCCCAATTGTTGATTCACTTGGTTTGGTATAATTCATTGATCTGGTCATGTCACTGCTTAAAATATCGTGTTTAATTGCATTAATCGACATACGTTCAGATTGCTTTGGGGTGATTGATTCATTGAGACTGCTGCATATGATTTATAATTTTCAATATGACATAAATTACGTGGTTCGATTGTAATTTATTTATTGTTAAGTACCTAAGAATCATATTTCATATAGTTTCTATAATGCTAATTTAATTAGCATATTAGCATATCGTCTTACTAGTGAACATGTTAGTTTTGAACTATTCATTTAAAGATCTAGATGATGGTTGATATAATGGCGTTTGTAGAAACACTAATAATTCTCATGAAATAATTATATGTTTCTATGATTTGATGATTGGTAGAATTTGTTGGATTTTTACAATAAAATTTGTGAGTCATATCCAGTTAATTCTGATCCACTCTTTGAAGAGAATGTGATATCTTATACAGAAAAAAAGAAAGATCACACTAATACATTAAGCCAACGAAGTGGCTATAAAAGTTGTCTTGAGTTGTCAAGACCAAGATGT